GACAGTCAGCTCATTCTGGTGAGAAAGGTACAGTGACTCTCTGCAGGCTCTCCTGAGTACACAGCCAGTTGGCATTTTGGGTCTGGGAGTGGGGAAACAGTGTAAGCTTTGCATTTTACTTGACAGAAAGCCTCTTAGATACTATTCAAAGAAGCCACTATTCCTAATGATGTCAATTGATTTTAGAATTTGTGACAGAAGTGCTACAATCAAAGTGAGTGTAATGTCATTGGAAGAGATTTCATGCCACACGTTAGCCCTGAGGCGCTGCCTGTAGGAAGTGTGAGCATTGTTTTCTGAAACAGAATGATTATAGGGAAGATATGAAATGAAAATCCTTAGACAATAAGAGGTTCTGAATCACCCGAAAGATCTCTTCCAGCTCCTCTGGTCTGCCTGCACACTGCAAGCTTGACATCGACCTGGCTGATGAAGACCAGCCTCACCTCTCACCACAGGGAGAAGCTCTGCATCCCGAGGCTGTCCTGCCCCAGGCTGCATACTGGAGTGTCTCTGCAGGCATTGCTCCCTGTGGCAGCCCAAAGTACTGGGGAGAGGCTCAGTCAGCCCGCTGGACGGCACTGTGCTGCTGGGTCTTTCTACCATGCTAGGCAATGGGCTGGAGATGCACTGGACTAACACCTTGTAGAGAACAACCACAAGGAATGTGGCTTACAATCACAGAACCACGAAGGTTGGAAAAGACCTTCAAGATCATCAAATCCAACTAGCAGACTGATTTAGCTTGATAAACCAAGACTAACGTCTGAGCTTACTCCTTCCCTTTCACTACAGACACAACCAAAAAGAAGAATGATCTTTTATAGTGAGCTGACAAAAGGGATTCAGACTGAAGGAATTGTAAAACGCGAGAGAACCAATGGGAAAGAAAGTTTAAAATAGATGTGGAAATGACGAGGACCAGGAAATTATGGAATCATAGAATCATTTGAGTTGGAAGGGACCCTGAAAGGCCGTCTGGTTCAACCCCCCTGCACTGAACAGGGACACTACAGCTCCATCAGTGCTCAGAGCCCCATCCAGCCTGATCTTGAGCATCTCCAGTGATGGGGCATCCACCACCTCTCTGAGCAAAGAAGAAGATCAAAAAGTGAACTGATAATCACACTCATAGCTCACATAATGATAGGAAGCTTTTACCCGTCATCCCCAGTCTGCTGTAGACGTGGCTAATGGCAGCACTGACTTCAGCAACCTGCTCTTATGGCATAGGAGAGGCATTCTGTGCACACACAGACATTAGTATCCTGGTGGGATATCTTTCTTTCCTCCCTACATTACAGAAAAAAAACGATTTTTGTGTCAGTGCTGTGGAAAATATTTTTCATACTTCCACAAATCCTTTTTAGCATGAGAAGTTTCTGCTGCATGAAGATTTGAAGAGTTATATGCTTCGGATGTCCCTGGGAAAGATGTATTTGCACTCTGATGCTGGGAACAGGCGTTGGGGAAAAAGCATGTGAAGTGAGTAAAAATGTCGGGAAACAGCTTCAACGTTTTGGGTTTTCCAGCTGTTAGTTTCACATAGCACTATGCAATTTTGGAGCTGCGCGAACACAAGCGTAGAGTGATAAATGCAGGCTGTACTTTAGAGAGGGGTGAATGTTTTGGAAGACCGGGTAGTTTTCAGAGATGCCTCTCATTAAGACAACCATAAAAAATCAAGAGAAGTTGCCAAAGCAAACAAACGCCTACGCAGTCAGCCTTCAAGTCCCTGCCGTTGTTGGCCATTGCTTGTAGATGCAAAATGTACCCAAATAACCCCTTAAAAATAATTTGTGATTGTGGTACCATACTGCAGATTTACTTAAGGACAGGGTAGATAGAATGTATATTTTAATAGTGATTTTTGCCTTTTCTGTCTTGTAGGTATATCATATCACTGTGGTTTTTAAAGGCTCAATACCTATTATGAAAGCCTGCATTTGGCAATGTCGATGTTGTCTGAATAAAACTGGATACATTTTTTTCCTAAATTAATGATGAAAGTAGAGTGAATAAATGTTCCTGAGCTCTCTGGCCTGTCAGCGTCAGCACTTTGTGGCCTTTGCTGCTGTCAATGAGCCCTAAGGAAGCAGGTTAATCTGGGGCAGCTGTGTGAATTTGCATGGAACTGCCCTGGATTTTTCCACGTTCTCCCGAAACCCCAAATTTTTCAGAACAGATGGGACAGAGGGATTTCCATTAGTACCGCAGAATCCCTGTGACTCCCTTGCCTGCCTTTTTCTGTACCAGCTCCTGCACGCTGATGCCTGCTGACACCCTGAACAGTTGTCTTGAGTAAGAGTGAAAAACTGGAAGATTCCAAACACGTAGATCGTTAATGGTTGGAAATGCCCAATTTCCCTCCTGCCCTTCTACCTATCCTGGACTGACACGCTTCCTAGCATCACCATCGGAAAGGAAATGGAAAGACCCTTTGCAACAAATTCAGCATCTTAATTATTTTGGTGAAATGCAGGGTTGCAAGTAGAGTTCAGAACAAATCGTAGCTGTGTGGTTGTTATATGGAGCCATTCTATGATGGAAGCAATCTTGAGTGCTTTTACCAAACAATTTTTCATAATATCATTGGATCTCTTTTATGTATGTTAGGCATAGATGTCTGTAGGTTATATTTGAAATTTTAACCCTTATATTCCTGTGTTTGAAGTTCTTTCTTGGGAAACAGTCCCTACAGTGCATTTATGCACAGTCTAATGATATTGTCTATAACCTTTCTTAACCTGATATCTATTTAGGAATTAATATTTGCCCTTCAAAGCCAAATGTGCCTGAGAAAGTTTAACTTCCAAACAAAGAAGGATTTATCCTTGTTGGAGCTGGAGAGCAGAAAGTTCTGAGGTCCTCTGTAGTGCATATGGTTAAATAGTGCTGCCAGGCCGTGGGCTGATAATACTGTTTTGTGATGGTCTATTTGTCTACCACCTCTCTGATGTGAAAGTGGTGTAGCAAGTACTCAATAATTTACATACTGTACAATATAACTAAATATAAATGATGCATTATTCTTCCATTTAGCCCCATTTGAATTGATTGATTACTAAATCTTACATTTATCATTTATCAACATTGTGATTATTTATAACTTCTGCTGAGTTTACAAAGTAGTGCATCAATCAAGAAGCTGAGTTGCTCTTTCCCAATTTATAATGGGTATTTTAATGATCAGAACCTAATTCTTGCATTGGTTATTTATTTCATTTTGTCAGCACTGAGCTTGAAAAGGGTGGCCAAAAGATATAAGGCCAAGGCTAAGTCTCAGAAAGAAGACCCCCCCTTCCTTTTTTTTTTATTCCTGTTTTGTGATACTGACTTCTACTATTGTAAGTTATTTTAAAAATAGATGTATCATGGAATCATAAAATGGCTTCGGTTGGAAGGGACTGCAAAGTCCATCCAGTTCCAACTCCCTGCCATGGGCTGGCTGCCCCCCAGCAGCTCAGGCTGCCCAGAGCCCATCCAACCTGGCCTTGGGCACCTCCAGGGATGGGGCACCCACAGCTCTCTGGGCAAAACTGCCAGGGCCTCGTCACCTGAATCAAAAGAAGGAAAGGTAAACACTGATCATTTCAGTAATGCTTTCGCTCACCAGAATCCACACAAACTCCTCAGATACCCAGATGACTTTCCTCCCTTGCCCCATGGCTCAGGTCAGCCTTTTCCTGCTCTGTCCACGTCACTCCTGGGCTGTTTCTTGTTCTGTGGGAGGCTTAGGGAGGGAGCCCAGCTGGAAACACAGAGCCCTCAAGTCTCCCATATCTAAACCTGTGATCCCAATTCATTCTCTGCAGTGAAGCAAGTGATGCTGGTGATAAGACTGATGCTAGTAAAACAGAGAAAACAAGGGTGCTTCCTCTGCTGCTGTTCTTGAGTTGGAATAACTGGAAATTATACGAAATTATATCACAAAATAGGTCTTTTTTTGGTCACTGATAGCTACGTTTAATCACTGAGAAATCTGGTGGGGTCTAGACTCACCGAGCAGATTTGGAGTTAAAAATTGTGCTAGCAGTCAGTAGCGTAACTGCAAAGCCTATTGCGGGAGGTGCTGCTCACTGGGTTTTCCCCTATCTGCTATCCCTATTAACAATTGCTAAGAGAAAAGAAGATTGAACATAAAAAGCTGAAGGTCGTCCATACAGTTGTCTCAATAGCAATCTGTGTGACTTTACCCCTGTTGAGGAAAAGTAATTACCCTTTGGCTTCTGATGACCCCAACTAACCTTTGCTGAAGGACCAGAGAAAATAAAGGCTGACCAACAGCCTGCCCTTGCTGCCCTGTGGTTAACCCACACGGGGAATGAAGAACACTCCCAACAATAGGATGTGAAAATGTTGCCATGGAAATAGCACTGGAAGAAGAAACAAAAATCTATTACAATTAATAGTGTTTTATTAGGTGACTCCTGTAGAACTGTTTAATCCATGGAAGTTGCTCTATCTTGAGATCTGGGGTCAGAAAATTTCAGGAGGAATAGAAGAGGGAGACAGAGCATGCCTCTTTAAAAATTCAAGGGCTGTTGACACAGCTAGGATGGTTTGCATGAGATAAAAGAGTCCAGGTTGTGTTGTGCACTGGAAGTATGGGAGGTGATGGCAAAGAACAGATGCAATTACTTTAATTGCGAATGATAACCACTGGCTACCCCCAGGTCAGGAAGAGTATGGATACACAAGCATTTTGGTTTTCTTGTGTGGTGAACAACAAGGGTCATTTAGCTTTTCTTTCTTTTTTTTCCACAATACCGAGGCCTTGCCTAGAGAACATCAGGTTATTTGCAGAGTTATTTGTGTGTCTGACACCTTCAAATTGGGTCCTGCAATGCTTTTGTTTTCATTTTTTTCCCCTCTCCTTTTCCTTTTAATTAAAGCTGACACCTTGCAACACATCACATCAAATTTCTGTTAAATTCTGTTAAATTTGTGGTCTACTGTGTTGTGTTTTAGGCTGAGTTCTGTGCTGTTTGTTCCCCCAGCCAATGATGTTCACGTGGAGCTGAGAGTGCTGCACATTTCTGGGAGGACTTGAGAAGCTGCTGAAAACTCAGCGGTTCTCTGACCACATAAAGACAAATCATCGTGACTTCAGAATCTACGTCTTGTTGGTCTACAATATTCCAGTTCTAGTGCACGATAAAGCATTTCAGGTATATAAATTCTCTGACATTTTGTTACTCACTGGATAGGATAATTAATTTCACTTAATTTTTAATAAAAAGAGTTTTGAGTGCATGTTCCTAGCTGCACATCCCTAAACCGTTTTTAATGATTGTATGGCTTTTAAGAGAAATGAGGAATTTTAGCAGGTCTAAGACATTAATACACAGTGGTATGTTTTCTGATATTGAAATGGAATTCAAAATAACAGATCTGTTACAGCACACGTTCTGAGAACGTCACACAAAGTTCCACACCGGGTTCCTATTTTTGGTCTTGTTCCCCAAGTACAAATGCTTGAAACAGGGAGGATGTCAACCAAAATACTGAACTGATGCTCCTGATAACCTCACTGGCAGTGTGCATGTGTGCATCTGCCCTCACTGCAGATTCCTTGTGCTAAATGCTGGAAGCACAGTAAGGAAATGAGTTGCCCTAAGTGTGATATTAAGATCTTTTCCTTTTCTTAAAATGGTGGTAAGATTTTTTTTTTCTCCAGTACTTTTGTATCAGTTTCCAATAATTTAGCTGTGAATTTTCACCACGAAAGTTCTTCAACTTATGAGTGTTTTCAGATGTTGATTTGCAAAGAGTACGCAATGTGCTGGAAAGAAACAAGCTTATTTCTGCGTGAAAAAGATTTTCCCATGCAACATCAAAATCATTTTCCATATTGCAAATACGATCATTACCTTAATCATTTCTTAATTATAACAACGGTGTTCAGTTTTTAAGGTTTGTTGCCATTGCAGACCCTTGAGTGCACTGTGTCTCGATGCACCCTGCCCTTTTCTTATGACACGGAAACTTGTCTGTTGCTTTAAAATGAATCACGTTGCCATAAGCTTTTATGACACGTAAACCCTTCAAATGATTTTGCTCAGATGTCTTTCAGTACACAAGTTTGTATTTCAGCTTATGGAACCAGTGTAGGTCTGGGATCAAGGCAAGGTGCTTTCATTAATTTTCAACAACAGTTTCCACGTCGCTGGCTGCGAGGCATTGTTTGCTCGGAGGACTCACCTGCTCGTGGTGCTGGGGGCTGTCACCTGTTCCACTGACTGTTCCACTTCCTCCCTTGGGTTAGTGCCCAGGTTTTCATGGTAACCCCTCTCTGCTTCCATCCTTGGCAGTCTGGCAGAAGCTCAGGACAAAATTCAAGGGAGTCCAGCATTGCATGAGGAGTTTCTGCTGCTGTGTTTATTGAAAGAGAGAGAAGGCAGAGGAATTACTCAAAGGTAAGCGTTTTGATGGTCTGCTCTGTTCTCAATACTTTGAGGAGTTTGAGAAATCCCTTTAAACTGTGCACATCATATTATTTGTACATTAGAAGTTGTTAAGGTCTTCACCTTCACTTGTAGGTCGTTTTCTGTCCTGCTTTAACTGGTACAGAGGCTACACCTTTCTCCATTTTACCCTGACATCACTCCCAGGCTTGAGAAGTGTTTGCATCTGTCAAATATTTGCATTCCAACTGGGGGATTAATAAAGACAGAGGACTCAGGGATCAAAGAACCTTAAGTTGTTCCTGAGTGTTTGCTACAAAAAGAATTTTCTGGCCGACTCGCTAACGATGGACTTACTCTGCTTTGCAATGTGTTTCATACTTTCATGCTCTGCAAGATGCTGTTGTCTGTCATTGTCAAATCAAATGGAAATTAAACACAGATTCCATTTACAGGTCATTATTTTATGTTGTTTTGGTATGAGTGTACACGTGTGTGTTAAGCACAGTGTAACTTATATAAAAGAGCTAGCTAGGAAATATCAGAGCCAAACACTCAGAAATGTTTTTCCATACAAGTTCAAAGTCTGGTCACATGTAATGCAATTCTTTTAAAACCAAAAATCTGTTTTTACTTAAATTAAATTTGTTCATATGTTCATTGATATTTTAATCATAAAACATAAAAAGGTAGGCTGGAAGCTGATGATTAATCTTGCCAGCACGCTGTCATAGATATGTTGTGGAAAGTCGGAAATGAAATTATTTCTGTGTTATCAATTGACGGACGTGTATAAAATGCAGGGCTTTCAAATGCATCACAGTTCTTAAAGCTTTAATTAATGTAACATTGCTGTGCTGGTGTGTTTAACTAGTGGCCTCCTATTGTTCTGTAGCGTTATCTAAAAACATTATGCCTCTTAAGAGGAAGCCTGCCAATACCGAGGCTTAAATGCCATATCTATGTTATAGGAAGAGAACTGATTTGGTCATTAATGGTAATTGCGGCAGAAATATTAATTACATCGAGAATACTTCACGGCAAACTACAATGCTGAAAGTACTGAATGAACATCTGATTCTCAAAAACGTGAATACAGTCTGAGCACCCAAGGCATTGCAGAAAACAGTTTATTTTAACAATTTGCTAACACTGCAGAGCAAGAATGGCTTATAAAATAGTAGGACATTTCTGAGCACTTCACAGCCATCTATGAGATATTCATTAACAATACGGCAACAAAGCATAGAATAGAGTTTGGGTATGTGTTTCTTGGTATCCCACATTATACGAACAGATAAGTCAATTTTTATCTCGAGAGTTTTGTTTATAAATCAACAGCAGCATTAGATATCCTAAAAGTTACCATAGCCATTAAATACCTTATAGCGCTGTATCCCTGGTAATCCAATTTACAAAACTATATTCTCAGCAGAAACTCCTGGGATATACAGTAGTTCTCTTCAGTGAGCCCTTCCTGCTTTTTCTTGTCATGAAGCAGTGATGGTAGGTTTTTATCCTGTTGATAATTTGGCTCTCTTTAAACTATTGCTTGTTGACCCACTGGAGTGGTCTTTATGAGGGTGGAGGTAGCTGGAAGACTGAAGGACTGCAGACCATATATCTTATCTTTCTTCCTTTTTTTACTGTACCTTAACATTCAACACAGCATCATTATTCTGAGGCAAAAAGAGAAAAGCTGGTCCATCATATATATTCCACACATCGCTAGTCTTTCCTCCATGCCCTGCAGTGCTACAGAGGGGGATTATTGCTGCAGAAAAAAAAAATCTGGCCATAGTGTAAGGAATAATCACTGCAGTCCAGCTCACCCCCACACCTCTTTCTCTCTCTCCTTCTCTCTCTCTCCCTCTGTTTGAGGCCCCAGCTGATTCAGTCTGCATCCATCCATACATAAATCATTGCCCTTATTCTATTGGTTACATGGTACATGGCAAGTATTGATTTTTTCCGTTGCCTCATTGCTGGAGAACCCATGGTTTTTGTGAGACTGAAAATGCAAAATTTTTTTTTTTGCCGGAGATCTTGTCAAGGTACAAAAATGACAAGCCAGGAGGGTGCTGTTTTAAGGCTTCTGTCACTTAAAAATCTTCACCTTCTCTGTTCCACTCGAGGAGCGCCTGTGTCCCCCAAAGTCACTGCTTGTTTAATCACCACTGCTTTAGGCAGGCTTAGTGGCTGAGCAGCGGGAGAATAAGCAAACAGAAGCAGGGCCTGGCCACTTGGCTTAATTAGCAGAAGTTTAATTATCCTCTGAAACATAAGATAAAGAAACAGGAAGATAAAGAACAGCAAGGAAACGATGGCATTTCAAGGAAAGAAATGAATCCTAGGCGTAAGATGATAGGATGCTGTAGAAAAAGGTGCATTCTGCACAACGGACACATAGTAGTGTGTTTAATTCAGTGAGCTCTTTGCAGCATGCTGAAACCTTTTTGCCCTTCTCAGTCTGAATGCTGCATCGAGTTACTTTTTCTCAGCATGCAAAGCTGCCTGAAAATGTCTCATGGAGACGGCACCTTGTTTCCTCAGAGAAGTGTTTCTGGGGGACAAGGAAGCCTGATTATGAGGCGGATTGTCAGGCGTTCTACTTCAGTAACTGACAATTCCCTGGTAGAAGAGTCTGTCTTCCTGACAGCCTGATCCTAAACACACTGGAGTCAACAGGGATGCTTTCATTGACACTATAGGTGTGGGCTCCCATTTGTGGGCTTGGCTTGGCATTACACAGAAGCCAGTGTTTTCCTCTTTTATGGAAACCATCACTCCTCCTGCTTTGGAAGAAGTGAGGTGGGTTAGGATGGGTGGTTTCTACGTGGGTATTGTTGTATTTCATCTGATTGTATTGTTTTACTGTTACCATTGTTAGTACTTTTAAACATGATCTAAGCAACAGAGTGTAAATTTTCTTTAATACTTCTACTGTGTTTTCTTTAATACTGCTAATGCAAAATCCCCCATGCTTAAAATGCCTGTCCTCTGCCAACTCTGATCGCTGTAGCTTGCTCTTCTTTTTTTTTTCAAGTCATCATGCCCAATTTCTGCTAATCGCATGTCCAAAGCAGCTGATATTTTCTATCTGCATGCTAAACAGAATCTTAAACAAAATACAGCTTTAGAATATGCAGTATTAGGCTTGGCTGGGGCCATCCCTCTTTTGGAGCATGTTTTCTTGTCCAACGGTATGTTGCAACTGTTTTAGTGAAATGTAACTTAAAATGAAATGAAATAAAAGGTAAGACTGTGGGAAACATGAATTTTGGAGGCAGACTATTTCCTATTCTTTTTGCTGAGGAAAAGGGCAGGGTGTTGCCTTCAGCAAATGATCTTCTTCACCAGAGGAGTACCATCAGTGAAAAATGTGTCTTTGTCCCATTGAAGAACATATCTTTGTGGCAGTGGCTGCGACAACAGGGTTGCTACATACCTGTATAGCAGGCATTTGAACCGAGTCTCAGGTTTAAGTTCACTCCTTTAACCTTTATTAATAAAAGAGAGGGGTGTACTTTGTCAGCAGAACACCAGTAGCTGACTGTTCAAAGCACAAAGTTACTAAAGAAAGACTTGTCTAAACCTACAAAGCTTTTAGGACTCATCTTCTATAGGGGCACGCTTCCCTTTTATAGGTTTCCATGAAGGCACTCAGCCTGAACTTTTGGAGATTCACAAGATAACTGGCCTATCTACATTAAAGTATTTTTCTTGCAGCCTATGCTGCCCCTTTACCAGGCTGTGCTCAGCTCACAGCTCTGGGGCACTTCGGTTGAAGGCCTGGCAGATACCATATGTGCACAGCACAGAAATACCTCATGTATACATCTAGTTTACAGACAAGAGAACACCTCAGATTGCCAAGTGTTCTCTTGTCTCCACACCTGCAGAGCCGCTGTCACTGCAGCCACAGCTGGCTTGCCTCCCATTTGTACGTGTGAAAGGGCTCACGGCTTCCCAACCCCCCTTTTCCTGTTTCTATTTTAACCTAAAAGGAGCACTGAGAACTTGTGGCATGAAGCACTGCTCAGACCTGGTTGGAAAAGGGTTGCAGCTGCTCCCTTGGCCGCCTGCTGCCTTTGGCACTCACTGACACTTGCCCATAGGCACATGTAAATGGCAGCTGGCCCATGCTGGAGCTTTGTTGTGCACCAAGCCCCAACCAACTTTGCTGTCCTGCTCTGCAATAGCAAGGTTAACTTGGTGCAGCAGACTCAGCCAGCTTCCTTTTGCATCTCTCTGAGGAAGGCGAATACTGGTCCTCAACGATGGACACGAGAATTAATAAATAACACTGACAAGAGGTCAGGGGGATTTGTCCTGTGGCAGCTAATAACTAATGTCTTTGTTGAAAATACACATGAAAAGAACAGGCAGGCATACAGGCTGTGCTCTGTGCTTGTGTAAGATGAAGTGACACGGTCAGGGACATTAACCCTCCCCAGGCAGGGTGGCAGGGCAGCTGCCCTCTTACCCATGGCCATGGGAAGCCATCGGCCCGCACTGCTACCCCTATCACACACGTGTGCTGCATCCAGGCTCAGGAGAGCTGCAGACAGCCTTGCTGATCCGACCCTGTCCCCTGGCACCCATCTGCAGTGCCATGCGTGCTGCACACAGCTGCATCTCCCCTTGTGACACATCTGAAAAGTAGGTGTCTGTCGGGCAAGAGCAGGCTTTCATCCTCAAAGGCCTTCATAAATAAGCTTGTGATGGAGCAAAAAGAGCCCTTGCTAGGGTCTGCAGTTCATAGGTGAAGAAATTGTGGGAAGATCTGGCACTGAAGCTGTGATGGTGTTTGAGAGCTCCTGCTTGCGACACATGTGGGAAAATTGCTGAAGGACCACGTACGTGGGGAAGCTTGACCCCTATAACACTGCCAAGGACACAGAGATCTTCGGTGGCTTGCTTAGCAAGCATTAATCAGAAAAGCATCTGGTTCAGCTCAAACCTGTAGGTTGCATTTTCTCAAGAAAAAAAAAAAAAAAAGAAAAAAAGAAAAGAAAAAGAAAATATCAACAGAACATCTTTTTTTTTTTTTTCTTTTGTAGGAGGGCCTGCCTTCTTTTCTGCTTTCCTCAGCCTGTTGTTGTGTAAATCACTCTGTTACATCCAGCAAATTAACTGCATGTGCTGCAGCGTGCAGTAGCAAGGCTGCTGCGGGTTTGTCCATTTCAATAGGAGTGGGATGTAGTGTCATTTAACCCACACCAAATGCTGCCTGAGGACCCTGAAAAGTTACTCAGCAATGATTTTAAATCCTATCCCCAGGAAGAGAAAAAAAAAATAGTTTTGAACTGTACAGTTGGAGCCCATAGTTGTAATAAGATCCAGGAAAAAGGTTATTTTACCTGAATTTATCGCTTAGCAACCAAGAAACTACCTCCTGAGATTGCCATTCGTGGGTTACCAAGTAACTGGCTGTGACAATTACCAAACAGCTGTCCCAGGAATCTACATAGCCTTTAACCTCCGTCAGCTGAGAGATGGGCTGATGACAGCTAACAAACAATAGGAACACACCCTAATATTTTATTTAAGAGCTGAGGGAAACCACAGCTGTATGGATCATTCAGCCAGCTGGATTAACTGCTTCGGACCACACTGTACTGAGAGGTGTATGCAGGGCTTCTTTCTAACTTTGAGAATTGATGCTACCAAGATAGGTTTTGCTAACGTACAGGGATGCTAAGCTACTCGTTAGGATGTGGTTTATAATATTCTTTCGTTAATTTATTGTTGGGGTTTACAGAATGCAACTGTTCTTGCTAACTATTAGTGAAAGGCAGAGCGTCAAATAATCAAAAATATCAAAATAATGAAGGAGTAACTTAGGGAAGAAGCTAAGGGAAGAGAAAAGAAAGGGAAAAATCACTAAGACTGGCAAAGAAAAAAAAGTACTGAGCTTGGCTATTGAGAGGAGCTGCTTATAATGAGGTGGATTATGTCTGGGGGTGGTTTCCCAAAGGAAACAAGCAGAACTACAGTTGCAATGTGTGCAAGTAAGCTGGAGGCACTGTAATGCACTAGAAACATTAGATAGACTAATGCACGTGTCAGACTAATGCAGGTGTCAGTCCAGGCTATGTAGGTTCTGCTCCTAATGCTGAGATGCTGAGGAGTGGAAGTGGCTTTTTTTTTTTTTTTTTTTTTGAATTTCCTTTTTTATTTTCTGTGATTTTATGACCTTAAAAATAGCGGGCAGCAAACCTGCCACCAAGTGCAAAGCCAACTGTTTATGCAGATGGTTTTGATGCTCTGAGCTGGGAGAGATTTATGGACGTGCCTCATGCCAGAAGTTCACAGTGGCTCCTTTTAGCTTAAAATAGAAACAGGAAAAGGGGTTTGGGAAACCATGACCCCGTTCACATGCACAAATGGGAGGCAAGCCAACTGCAGTGACAGGGGCTCTGCAGGTATTGAGAGGGAGAACGCTTGGCAATCAGTTGTCTTGCTACTGCTAGCTTTGCTCTGGCATATTCAAATTGAGATGTTACAGTCTGCTCTGGCACGTTCCATGCACTGCCATAGGAGGAATCACCTCAGAAAATCCTACACCAGATTTCCACCCGCAGCAAGTTCAAAAAGGGAATTTCCCCAGACCAATGCTGTCATATTTCTCTGAAGGGATGTTGTCGTGGTCTTTGCTACTTATCTTATTTTACTTCTTATGGAAGTAAAATTTTGCCAGAATTTCTTTGTTTTTGGAGTATCGTTAAGTGGCTCTATTTATTGCATTATCTTCCCATTAACGTTGTGTAGTAGGGAAGTCAGAAAGCTTGTGACCAAGTTTATCAGTTCATCGTACAATGTTTTTTTCCTGATCTGTTTGTATTTAATAAAGGCCCTGTTAAATTTGCTACCTGAGGTATGCAGAAGAATGGAGGAACTGAAAGTACAGTAGCCTGGGGAAATGGAAATCCTTCTCCTGTGTCTGCTTTATGACCACGTGTAAGAACCCACGTGATGCCATGGGTTTGTAGTTGGTGGCTTTGGCCCTAACACGGATCCCCAGGCCTACATCTGAGCTGTGGCAGATGCTGACAGGTGACATGGGTTGAGATGTGTGCTTCCAGCCAGTGGTTCAAGCCCCAAGGATTGCAGGACACCAGTTCTGCTGTCATCTTTTCCATTTACAGCTGGCTTGCTCCTTCCCCCTGCTTTTTGCATGTTTTGCTGTGCTGCTCTGCCCCACTGCTCAGTCCTTCCATAAGAGCAAACAGCCTCTGCCACTGCCTCCAGTGTCCCCCTGGACTCATTTGGTTGGTCCTGTAGCCTTTTTCATTAAAAACTGTTAAAAATGAAACAAAGTATTTCAATTTGCTATGAATTTGTAATGATTTTTATTGTCAGATGATTCAAAGTACTGTGCTTTTTGTTGTTTTTTTTTTTTAAACTTTGGTCACAGCTGAAGAACTCGTGGTCTGCCCCATTAACGACTTGCATCTAGTGTGACTGTTCAAATGATGTGCATGCTTAGAAAATGAGCAGAGACATGGGAAGTATTTATATAAAAGAAATCGAAGTCAGGTGTCGTCTTGATATTAATCACTTGTCATTGCCATCACTGCAATGTCTTTGCAGATCTGTTGTGGACATGTGGCGCTGTGATCATAAGCACTTGGTGTAAACCTGGGGAGGGCAGAGCCTTGGTGCTAGAATGAGGCTCAAACTCTCTGCTTAGAGGATGGTTCCTTTCCTGCTTTCCTGTGTTCCTCCAGCCCCACACCAAAGGTACTTCCATTGTTCAGCTGGTTGTTGGCTTACTTGGCTACAAAGCAAAGGACAGGAGATGCCAGTGACCATCTTGCTTGCACCCTATCCTGCCATTCACTTATCTCTGTGGACTAGTTTGGATATGGGAAGTCTTTGCTGGGACATTCCTTCTGGCTCTTGATGCCAGACCATGGCTGTCCTGTTTTCTGGCTGGTAGCTGGTTGGTTACATTGACAGATGTTGCAATGATTCTTTTGGCAATATTCTGTTGTGCTGACTGTTCAAACAGGAAATTCATCTTTTAGTATTTGCACATGTTAAATGTTTGCTTTAGTAGGAATCGCTCTGACAGCAGGCTGGTCAAACAGTGTATTTTTGGAGCGGCAACCTCTGGAATTCTCAAAGTCCTCATCGTCCCATAGATCTGCTGGGGCTTGGCTTGGAGCCCTGTTCCCTGAAATACCGCAGAACTGGCTTCTGAGGATGGGCGACGTGAGCTGCTGAGCTCCAGGTTGCTGCTGTTTCCCTCCCTCAGGATGACGTGTTCCTGCATTGGATGGCACCTGGCTCAGCTCATGGGACACCTAGGAAGGTTTGCTGTGTGATGAAGTCCATGCTGTCTCCATCCTCCCTTCGGTCTCCAAATGCCTGGCTTACCGAGGTGGCCTCTTGTTCACGCTCATGGAAGAGAACAGGAAGGTGGCTGTGCTGCATGTGAGAAAGTGAGGACATGCTCAGGAAGCATGGAACAAGGACTAGCTGGAGAACTTAGTCTGACAAAGCAAGTTTTCATCTCCTTGTCTGGTGATAAGTCCCACTTCAGGTGACATAATTTGGCCTTAGGAGGCTTCTCCTTTCATGAACAGTCTGCAAACGCTGGTGTGATTTAATGTAATGCATTCTAGCTTGTTTCCTAAATTTTCACCGATCAAAACGGTGCGTACTGATGTGGGAGCTGGGAGTGGCTGTCTCATTGTAAGCAGTGGCATTAGAGATACCCTGCCTGAGGCCCATTCCTTCAGCTGAAGTTTATAAAATGTCAGAAGTTATAATATTTACTTCTTTTCAGCATACTTACAGGTGAGCTTATTATGGGAAGAAGCTGCATACAGTCAGGCTTCTGCTACCTGTGGCAGAAAAAAGGTTTGATCTGAGCAGGCCCTCTCCAGACCCCTTCACCCTCACTTGGGAGGTGAGAAACAGAGCACATATGAAAGCTGCTTTGTGACTTGCCAGTCTTTTGGCAGTACTTCAGAGCTACGGCTATTTTGAGTAATGGATCTTGGGAGTGGAAAAAGGCTTTGTGGCAAACCTAGCGTATGCATTTCTGAGAAACACATTCGGTTCCTATATGGTTATTTTTGTGTGTTTTGACAGGAAAAATCGAACAGTGAGGAGAACATGCTCAGAGGAGTTGGATTACAGCTTACACGTGTATTTGAACCCAGAGTTACACAATTTCACGAAGAACTTGCGTGCAGAAATGGTTTCTGATTTTTGCTTACAACGGCTGAGGTATAAAATCCTTGTTGTTTGTGAATTTGTAAAGGAAACAGAAACGTTTGCTAGGTGGGGAATTGCTGAAAATGTTACACCTGCAAGAAGGTAGAAGAGTCCTTGAGAATTCAGTGCTGATTAGCGCTGATGAAATATGGGATACGTGGTAAAATACATCCTTCATAAACTGACACTTGTATGTTTTGGTGTTTGGAGCTTGCATCACCCACCAGTTGTGTTATGACGCATATAGTTTTTACAGCTTTACTGTCTTGCATGCTGTGATAGTTTTACTGATCACCAGGATTTTTGTTTCCTTATCATTCTATTTTTATTAGTTAATTTTCTCCTCAAACGTCCTCATCTCTGAGTAACAGCATTGCTTCTGGCAGAGTTGTGCTATTTCCAAAGGAAACATCACAGTGGTGTTTTCACGTATGAGTGAAAGTGCGTTGCAGGAAAAGCCACTGTCTTATAACAAAGTTTGTTTTTTAAGTTCAAAATAAGCAGGATTTGAATGTTATTAAATGACATTTTTGTGAGAAGGAACTGGATTTAGAAAAATGAACTGACTCTTCAGCCAGATCTGTCATGAATTGCAAAAGCAGCTGGGAGATTTGGCCTGAGAATCAAGGTTGTTTTTTCTTTTTTCTTCGTCAGAGTTTGTAAGAGATTTGGAGGGACATAACATTTATTTCCTACTTCCCTGAGCTTCAGTCCAGGCCTTGGAAAAACCCATCTGACAGTGAGTTTGTTTGTATATTTCAAATTTTTTCCTAAGTGTGCTAGGCTCATTAGCAAGCCTTGGAAAATGCATGCTTTGTTGAAATTAGTACGGAAAACAAGATACTGAGGGCTCAAATCTGTCTCCGGAATATAAATAAGCATACCTTCCTTTGGAGCAGGTTTTGACTGGAGTCATACTGGAACCCTTGTTTCTGGGAGAGTTACGAATGTGCTTTGCTAGGAAATGCTGTTCCCTAAAGAGCTTGTCAGGCCTACAAGGTCTACATGCAGAAAGACTGCAGTGCGTGGCACCGTGTGGCCTGAACAGAACCTCACTTATGTTGGCAGGAGATGCTGCTGGTAGGTAGTTTGCCATGGAAGCTCCTGGAATACTTGGCTGCGACACATCATGAGGACATGGCAGTGACAGCTCAACGCTGACCAGATTTCTTCAACCAATATGCAACACCATTTAAATAGTAGAGGAGCCCAATCAAAAGGTGTTGCTCAGAATCGTGCTTCAAAGGCTTAACCAATAAAATAATTCTTGACGTTGCATGAAGCAGTCATATTTACCTCTGCATCTCCATTTCTATGATAATTTTTGAATTGGATTTGAGGATTTCATATGCATTAAAAGTCTGTGTAAGCTCTGCTTACCCACTTGGCACAAGGTGGTTGTTTCCTCAGGATTTATTCTTTCCATTAAGCCAAAGTAATTTCTATTCACCATTGTCACACTTAAGTTGGGTCCTTTGGTGATCCCCTAATTCCAAAAGCCCAGTTGTTAAGTAAGCTTTGATCAAAGGGGTCTCTTTTTAAGCCAAGCTTATGGTAATGTTAGAGAACACTAAGAGAGCAGAACTGCATAGTACTGAAGGACGTGGGGTGTCTCTAATTGCTGCTAGAGAAAAATACATTCTGAGGCAGTGTGTAAAGCTTTTCATTTGAAACATGCTCTGGTGTTCAAGTCCCCCCAAGCAATGATGTACTTGGCTCTTCAGCTACAAATTAGAGGAGAATGTGCACGACTCTGAGCTTGGCACCAGGAGACACCTTCCTGCTCTGCTTGCTGAAGTATTTCAGGCTGCTGTACCATGTGGCAAACTGCAAAATCCTTTTCACCATCCACTGTTCTGGCTGCAAGTATTCTTTATTATATTTTGCCTGTGATAGAAGAAACGTTTTCATCTTTAAGCATGATTATTTTTGTAGGGTTCAACATCTTCCCCCATTGCTCTTTATCTGGAATCACATTTTGCAGCATCATTTAGTTGTGGTGAAGATAACAACATTATATGGTGTGAAAGGACAGCTAGATGAATGCTACCCCCCTCAGGTAAACTGCTTTTGTGCGTGTGCAATTGTAAATGGTGGAAAAGAATGCCTTTCTGTACTTCTTATAACTCTACTTTTTGCAGCAAATCTGCGTTTAGCTCACCACAACTAAGTGCACAGTTAGTAGAAGGAATGCTCTGCCTAAGTATCTGTTCAAACATCTTGGGAACCCTCCGTGTATTTGATTAAACCTTTCAGTACCAGCAAGCTCCTCGTGAATGTATGTACAGCAAACCATTTGGACTCGTATGCAGTGCTGCAGCTTAACTTGGTTAATCCTAAACCAGCTCTTCAGTAATAAGCAAATTTGAGTTAACTGTCAGATAATTCTTCAGCTATCTACTGGTGGTGTACACGGAAGATCAGTGCTTCTCTGAGGCGCTGGTGTTTTGATTTTTCATCTACCTGTGTGAGATGATGAAGTGTCCCTCTTAGCTTTTTTTTTTTTTTTTTTAAATTGGGGAATTTGCATTCAGGAAAATTACACAGCTTTCTGAAAAGGAACAGGTGTTCATAGCTGTTGGAAGAGGTCTATGTCTTCCATCACAGACCTGGCTTCTTCTTCAATTCATTTGCTCCTGGAGGGTTTTAAAACTATTTTTTGTTAGAGGAAATATACTGTCTTGTACTGAACAGAGGCAGAACTGATTTACTGTAATTTGGTATTCATCTGAAGATGTTTTCTTGGGAATTGTAGCTAAAGAGTCAGGTAACACGAAGGGATGGACTGGGGACCTCTTCTTTACAACTTATTATTGCTGTTTCTTCTACGAAAGTCGTGAAAAAGTCCCTCTCATAATTACCTTATAATGAATGTCTCATTCCTTTGCAGAAACCAGTATGCAGTAATTATTTCTTAAATGCTCTGATTGCTTCTCTGACCCTTAGATAACGGATGCAGTATCATCAGGATCCCTAGCAGACATGGAAGGCAGCTCTGTTTGCACATAAGTGGAACATGCTTGGTTCCATGAGCACGTGCTGCTGGATCATGTCAAGCTTTTGGTCCACCAGAACCCCCACATCCTTGTCCACAGGGCTGCTCTCAAGGAGATCTTCTCTCAGCCTGTACACACATCTGGGATTGTTCTGACCCAAGCACAACAGCTTACATTTGGCCTTGTTGAACCTTGTAGGTTCACATGGGCTCACTTTTCAAGCATCCCCAGGTCCCTCTGGATGGGACCTTCCTCTGTTGCACCACTGCAACGCTCAACTTGGTGTTGTCTGCACATAGCCTGAACAAGATCAGCTCAGGTGAGCATTTCAGAGCACAGCCAGTCCCACTGTGTCAGGACCACTTGGGGGAACAGCACTGACATCCCCTTCACTTCTTGTGTCATGGGGGTCTTCTGAAGGCTTCTCCCAGGAAAGCCTTTAAGTGAATTTCCTGCTGCTGCTCATTAATGTTATGCTAGTTTTAATTTCTTCCTTGTCTTGTATCACTAATCAAGAAGTAATTGAATTAGCTGAAAAGAAGGGTAAGACAAATTAGCTAAGAAGAATTAACTGTGTGCACCCGAGGTCAGCAGGCTCCTAGAAGATTCAAGGTGAGAATTAGTTGGACTGTAACTGAGATTTAGCAGGAAGTTACTGGAGAATCAAGATGCAGAAATACAAATGACAATCTAACCATGAAAACCTAGGTATATCTAAAAGTGTTTGGGCAATTCCTTTCTATTTCAAGACAGGAGAGCAAAGGACTGCACTTACATTCTTTCCAACTGCTTTGTTTAATGAAGGGAATTTCCCTGAAGTTTGACTTTTCATCCGTGTGTGAATCGGCTTTGCCAGGAAGATATTTCTCCTTCTGTATTGCTATTAAGGCAGTAAATTGTCTGTCCCTGTGTTCACTTGCTTGACTTTATTTTTTTTTTTCACGGTTGCTCTGTAATTTAAGTTCATCTTTCATGAAAACCATATGTTGGATTAAAGACAGGGTATTATTTTCATGCATTGTAATATACTCTGTTACCTCCTCCATTACAGTGCCATGTTAAAGTAATTATTATTCCACGTGTCACTGTGAATGCGCTTAAGATTCTTTAGGTCTTCTCTAGCAGGAGCTGATTTCCACTCCTGATTAACTGCTCTCATTCTTTTTATATGTTGGAATTAGCCAAGCATAAGCTTATAATTATTTTACAGGAAGACTTTTAGAAATATGAAAAAGTCATGCTAAAATAATTAGAAAACGAATTAGATTACAATTCATGAAAACCATAAGCTAATGAGTAATTAACTTTATACTTTAACTTTATACTTGACAAACCCTAAATAAACATAACTAAGTAATGATATAAAGCAAGGAAGTTTCAGTCTTGAACAGAAATGCCTTAAAACAGGTAAAAGAAGCAGTCTATACGATTGCATTTGTTTGCTCATTATATTTGCTCTTTTGGAGAAAGCTTGAAACTAGTTGGCTTCTACAAGTTTATGAACTTATTTTTTTGTAGTGGGGCTAAACTGACTGTACTGAAGGCATAGAAAGAGGCCCCATTCGATAACCTTATCACAGATACTCTCTTTTCACCAAACCTCAGCTGTAGCCGTATCAAATAAAAGCACAGAAAATGGTATAGCAACCTCACCATCTGCTGTGCAGCTTAGTTTGTGTTCTGCAGTTGGAGCTGAAAATACGTTGCTTGAAATTGTGAGTTAAGTCGCTGAAATGAGATGGGACCCCTGCAGCCTAATCCATAGGAACCAGCCAATTCTTTTGAGTTTCCCGTGTTTGATTAGTTGTACTGTAATTAAAGAAATTACCAATAGTCCGCTGTCTGGATGTGATTAACTCACCAAGTGCTCATACCTATATTCTTTAAGCATCTCCAAATAATTTAGGGCCTCATTTATGTTCCTTAATAAGGAACTAAATGAAAATCGTCTACAGCCTTAATACAGCGGCTTGTGCTACAAGCTGTTCTATCTTGTGCCTCCGTCATGGCTGCTCAATTGTTTCTGATTATGCTGCATTGTAATTAAAGAACTAGAAGTGCTATTTGCTAAATGAGAACGTGCAGAAGGAACGGAAAGAAATCAGATAAAGACGAGAGCCTTCTAAGCAAACTGAACCCGGAATGTCGATGCTGCACACAGACGTGGAGCTGTGGATGGGACTGCTTGAACTGCTGATAAATTTCTCCTAGGCTCTTCAGAATTGGAGTTTTTGATGATAGTGACTTTTGTTCTTAAAAGAAATGCAGGTCGGGTTGCTTCTGAAGAGCAGCAAAAGGATGCATTCACGCTTGCTGCTGCTGTCCCACTGCCCCTGAGCAATGTGTTGCTCCCTGAGCTTCGTGCTTTCTTTCTAACCATGCGTACTGGAAGGTGTTGGGAAAAATCCAAGCATGTACCTCCCATGAGCTGGGCAGCACCTGGGGACAGCATGAGGATGCAGCTGCAGCTCTGCTTGGTCCTTGCTGATTGCTGGCTTTCAGCACAGCCTGCTCCCTGCTGGGACAACCTGACAGCAACAGCACGACACACTGTGTGAGAAGTAACCTAACAGGCAGAGCAGGGCAAATGAAGAAGGGCTGATGGGATGTTTTGTCTGTCAGATGTGTTTTGAGGATATTCCCATGTGTTTTCACAGTAATGTTTGTGTAGGTTGCACCCTGAGCTGCCCTGTACATTGTTGAGGAGATGTGGTTCCATGCTGATCCAACACTCCTGCAGTCTATCACGTAGCTCCTACCCACAGAATGAGAACAGGGAGTTAACCTTCTGTAAGGTGAACGTTAATGCAAATCATAGAATGGCCTGGGTTGAAAAGGACCTCAATG